ACGACGACTACGAGTACGACTACGACGACGGGCTCGGCATTTGCGATTTAGATCTCGGAGCTTCATTGCTTTATGGTGTAGGGGTTAAGGCTTCAAGGAATCTAGGGATTTAGCGGATTGCGGGTTTTTAGAGTTTTGGGTTTAAGGTTATAGGGTCTGGGTTTCGGATTTGCGTATTTTGGCCGAAGGGTGTCTATGCAGTCCCGACGTACCCCTATGATAGGGCGAAATCATCCTTCAGAAACACTACCTGGCAGCGTTCAGAGCCTATCGCTTTGTGTCTTCTTGGCTTGGCATCTTCTAGGGCTTGAGATATGGGGGTTTCCGAAAATAGGAGACCCTTTTTGTAGCACCCTGAATAGTAGGATCCTTATTATTATAAGGACCCCAAAATAAGGGACCCCTTATTTTCGGAAACTCCCATATGGTGACGGCTTTTGGACTTGATCTTGCAGGTGGTCGTCTTGCTGCAAACATCATCATTGCTTCTCTTCCCGTGCATTGCCATCGAAACCCTCTTCGCGTCACAGCATAGACAGTTAGACGGCGGTAGACAGGCCTCTGTAAAGGAGTATTTTGACCCCCCAAAACCCTACCCCAAAGCCCGAAGCCTGACTCCTAAGTCAAGATCCTATTCCAGAACCTTACCCTGACCCTTAATTGTACTACCTTCTTAGTGCTACCTCAGTTTCTTGTTACAGGATCCTAACCATAACATAAGACATTCAATAAAAAGTTACAGGTAAGGGTCTAGGTCGACCGAAGCTTAGCCTTTCCACCCCGACCTGGCAACGACCTCCAAGCGCGCCGAATGTGGTTGCAGGTCTATGGGCTGGAGCTTCCTCGTCCACGGAAGGGTAGTATAGGTGTTCAGGATTTCGAACGATTTCGGATTTGGGTTTTGTCGGTTTAGGGCTTTTCTAAGGCTTTAGGACACTTTAGGAAAGAGTAGTTGAGCCCTCGGAGTCAAAATGGAGCCTCGGTTGCTGGAAATGTTCGCCATCGAGAACCCTCGTATAAATGCAGTGTAAACGCTCCGACAAAAACCTTCAGCAAGTTCAAACATAGTAGTAGTAGCCGTGGTGCTAGTAGTTGTAGTCGTCGTAGTGGTAATCGTGGTACAGTAGTAGTAGTAGTAGTAGTAGTAGTAGCAGTAGCAGTAGCAGTAGCAGTAGCAGCAGTAAGTAGTAGCATCAATAATTATGACCCGAGGTTCGACTCCGATGGCAGTTCCGGATTTCGGTATCATGTGGTAGTTGTTTTTTAGAATCGACACCTTGGGCGGTGAACTCACCTAAAAAATCGGCAGCGGGCTGTAGTGAAGAGACAATCTTACAAGTTGGATGCTATAACTCTGGGTCGCACGAAACTAAAGGAACAAGTCAAGACGCCACGCATCGCGTTGCTTGCGCATTTCTGGAACGTTACCCTTGACAAAACAACTCACTCCGGTCCAGTCGACAAGCCCTAAGCCGTAAATCCCGATGCCACGAGCAATTGGCACCCGACGCGGCCTGAGCTGATATCCTCGCTTCGAAAGCAGGGCCACGTCCCGAAGCAGGCCACGCCCACTCCCAACCTACTGATCAGCACCCTAAACCCAACAGCGTACACCCTTGAACCTTAAACCCTTAAACCCCGAATTTAGTCCGTGTTAAACCGGTTTTGTGTAAGGCTTCCGCGGTTGAGGGATCAGCATTTCGGCTTGCAGGACTCGGTGGCTGCACTGCTTAGGGCTCACAGCTTCCGGGTTCATGTTTCGAAGTTGGGGGTATCTGCAAATACAAACAAAAACCGAAAGACACAGAGAGAGTTTGAGAGACTGGCAGACAAACAAACGTACATATGTATATATACACATTCAAACACAGAAACATGCACACCTGCACATACATGTGCAACTATCCCCCCCCAAACACACACACACAAACACACACACACACGCGCACACACACACACACGTCTACATGTGTGTATGTGTACATATGTGACTCTGTGTGTGTGTGTGAATAAATGTGTATATGTATATATGTATGTATGTGTATGTATGTATGTATGTATGCATGTCTGCATGTCTGCATGTATGCATGTATGCATGTATGCATGCATGGATGCATAGATGCATGGATGCATGGCTGGGTGTATGTATGAATGAATGAATGTATGTATGCATGTCTGTAAGAATGTATGCATGCATGGATGCATGGATGCATGCATGTATGCATGTATGCATGTATGCATGCATGCATGGATGCATGGATGCATGGATGCATCGATGCATGCATGTATGCATGTATGTATGTATGTATGTATGTATGTATGTTCATGTACATGTAGGAACATACAGGTACAGTCACGTCCACATGCAAATACCTATATACATGCTGCATCCGTCCATCCATCCATCTTTCCATCCATCCAGCCGTAGCAATTTATGTATATGTTTACATACATACATACCCATAGATGGCAACTGAATTTCTGAATGTGCGCACACACGAACAAAGACGAACACTTGACACAATGTGTACCCAGGTGTCACGTCAATTGCTGAGAATCAGAATTCGAATCAGCCAATCAATTGTGTAGGTTCACAATATCTGCGCTTGAGATTGGTCGCTGACAAGACAACGAGTCAAATGATGTCACCACACAAAGCGAACATAAGATGCACTCAACCAGCTTTTGTCCGTAATTTCGAGGGACTCTAGGCTTGATTGCACATTCACGCGAAATGTCACATACGAACCAACACACACAACTGTATGTGTATATGTACATATATATATACACACATATTGTACACATGTATATGATTCGGAATAACAATACAAACATGCATAGAAACAACTAACTAAAGCTTCTGTGCGCACACAGGCTTGCATCACGGAATCCTAGCTCTAGTTACGAAGGCTGCCTGCAGATATCCAAGAAGCCGTGATGTGCTTCAGGGGCTTTTGACTCTAGAATTCACATTGTCTGCATCCTACCCTTTGAAGCTCGTGGACATCAAGCCCTACACTGCTACACCGTGACGTTACGACTTTGGATGCGTCTGGGTCTTTTCCTTTGCGATTCATCAATGCTCATGGGGATTGAATCTATTGTTTCGCGTCTCGTGTGCTCTGCAGGGATCAAAGCCACATCGATGCTGGTGCATTCCAAGGTACATAGACCAGCGTTGGCACACGCAGGTCCAGCGCGAACCGACGAAAGGGTTTGGGAAGACCGTTCCGTCCGGGGTCCTTTGTGAACGAGAACGGATTAGAGAGCAAGGCTAAAAAAGCTGCGGGAAAAGCCGAAGGACTCTAGGATAGTTCTACATGGCTGGAGTCTCAAAACTGCATGTAATATGTCCTTTGTGAGGACTCCTGCTTGCACATTGGAGTGCTTCCAGGAATTAGTAACACTCTAGTTCTTCGCCTTTGTTGTGTCTGGACTGAATCCGGGTTGCCCAGAACCGCAGCCAGTGCTTGTGTGGTAAGCGGTAAGCGCTTAGTGCTGAGGGGAACGTATTGTCCGAGGCCCTGGAACATATGTATCAAACTCGCAGCACCGCTCGTGCTGTTTGCAGCAACATCTTTCTATGTATATATATGACATATCTATTTACATATATAAATATGCATGTATATATACGTACATGCATATGATATAGATGCATGAACACACACATAGAGATATATGTATATATATATACACGTATACATACATACATACATACATACATACATACCTACATGTACATATATACATATACACATATGTATATACACAGACTTATTTATTTACTTGTATATTTACCCTATGCATCGGCCGATAGGAAAACCAGGATTCACATGGTAGTTACAAGTGGAGGGGTTCCGATTGGTATTTTCAAGCGGGGCCACTAGGTTATTGTGAAAATAAAAACCTAGCGAGGAACCTATCGGAGAGTGGAACATAAGTCAAGCGGAAGCACATCCTGTTCGATTGTTTTCTCACTCCTCATTGCATTTTCCATTCTACACCCAACTCTAAAAACCCTAGCGAAAGCATTGATGAGAACCTAGCGAAGAACCTATAGGAGAACATCATGTTCCTAGCAGGTCCACTAGGAAATACCAGGAGCACCTGGTATTTTCAAACGTAGCAGATTCGATTGGTAGTTTCAAGCGGAATGCCTTGTTTTTTTCCAGCGTTCGATGGTTAGGGTGTCTTTTATTTATCTATTTGTTTGTTTATTTATACATGCAGGGAATGCAACCGAATGCCACAAACCTGCAGCGGATGCATACACAAACCATACTTCTGGCCAAGCAACCACGACGAGGACATCTGGTGCCGGCAGCGTCGCGGGCACAGCACCAACGAACGGCGGGCTGTCATCTGCATCGTTCAAGGTCTTGTGAGGATGGAAATAGCACATTCAGGTACTGCTGATGCGAGTATGCAAGTAACATAGGCGCGAATATGCGGAAGTCGGTGTTGTGGTAGTGGGAGCATCTGGAGTCGAAGCAGCAGCAGACTCGAAGTAGCAGCAGCAGCAGCAGCAGCAGCAGCAGCAGAAAGCAGCAGTAGCCGCAGTAGGGAGTATTAGTAGCGACAGCAGCAGCAGCGATGGAAGCAAGAGTAGTAGGAACAGTAGTAGAAGTCGTCGTCGTAGTAATAGTAGTAGTAGTAGTAGTAGCAGCAGCAGCAGCAGCAGCGGCAGCAGCATCAGCTCCGATGGAAGCACGGGCTACGGGAACAGTATGGAGCAGTAATAGTAGTCGCAGTGACAGTCACCCTGTTGGCTTTAGTGTTGGTGATGCTGCTGCTGATTGTCTTCGTCGCTGTCGTCGCGCAACAGAAGTACCAATAACCGACAACGTCGCAGTGATCGTCGTGCAAGTGGCACATCCTCGTCGTCGCCGTTGTTGCCATGGCAGCAAGCGAGCCAAAGGAACTCTTCCAGAATTCCGGATCGAAATTTGGGGTCCTCTCTTCTCGCATAGCATCACTGCGGAGAACACCCCTTGCCTCCTCCTCATAACTCCGCGAGTTTATGCCGATATCTTTTGCATAGTCAGGTCCCCTCACGGGCAAAGCCCAACACCCGAAGCTGACACACTTGAGCGCTCGAACCACTTTACCTTGAAACGAATACTTGTGCCCTGAGCCCTAAACGTGTGTGTATATATATATATATAAATAACGGTATATAATAGTATACAATATAATATTATATTATATTATAGTATATTGTATTATATATATATATGTATGTATGTATGTATGTATGTATGTATGTATGTATGTAAGTAATGTATGTAAGTAATGTATGTATGTATGTATGTATGTATGTATGTATCTATACATATGTAACACCCTTGCGGCTCTCAAGTCAGATTCTGTTCGGGAACTAGCAATCCTCACAAATCCTTGTCATCAGCCCGTCAGGATTGCAAAAGATCGAAGTTATCACCACGAACCGAACTCTGATGCAGTAAAGAGCATCAGGAATTTACGTGATATATAGAGCTGCTATTACAAATGCACCTTCCCAGACAATAAAGTCAACGAAAAAACACCTACACCAGTCTTTAAACAAAGCCCGGAAGGTGCGCACACTCACAAACCCTAAACCCTAAACCCTAAACCCTAAACCCTGAACCCTAAACCCTAAACCCTAAACCCTAAACCCCTAAACCCTAAAACCCTAAACCCCAAACAAGCGGAATTACCCAAACATCTGACTCTGTCTGGCCTTGGCTTCCTTGGTCTGCTTCCTCCATGTCATCCTTCGCCGGCCGCTCAAAGCGTCATGGGCTCCCAAAGGCTAGGGGTTTAGAGCTCTTAGGGTTTAGGGTTCTTAGGGCTTAGGGCTGTTAGGGCTTAGGGTTTGGGGTTTGGGGCTCTTAGGGCTCTTAGGGTTTAGGGTTCGGGTTCTCCAAGGTTTTGGAAGCATCCCGAGGTCCCTACCCCCTTAAACCACACACCCTTAAGGATCCTACAAGGCTAGTCAAAGGTAAGCCTACACCAGGCCCGTTTTGGGAAGTACAGCAGTTAGTAGTCAGAGGGTCTTCTTGAGTGGACCCCAAACCCCAAACCCCGTATACTCCCTAAACACTCCAACCCTACAGCCTGAACCCAAACCCTAAACCCTTAAACCTAAACACTTTTCCTAAACGCATCACCACGACAGTTACTGCGTGCTCGGATATGCTCCGAGGGCGTAAGGCTTCAGTCCAAGATGAGACGGATTTGGGGCTCTTTGGTTTAGGGATTAGGGCTTGGAGTCTAAGTTAGACTCAAGTCTAGGTGTTTATGCACTAGGGTTTAGGGCTTCGGGAGTAGGGTGCAGGTTTTAGACTTTGGGGTGTAGGGCTGGAGATTTTATAATGTTTGGGGCATGAAGTGGGCTGCAGCGTTTAGCCTGAACCCCAAACTCCCAAACGAAAAGTAGATCCGAACACATCCTGCAGAACTAGCCCCTACACCATAAACCGGCATACTCCTTTTTAGGTATGGAACCTCCAGCACAGTGACGAGCTCGGTCATGGTTTAGCACTGTCACTGCAACTACTGTACTGTAGGGTTCTATATGTGTGGTTCTACAGTAGGGTTCCCTTTAAGGGTATCTAAACTGTAACTTGTGAGTTCTATGATAGTCCAAAGGAAGTCGGGATCTGCTTTGGTAGTCGACGAGCACGTGGTGTCTGGTAAATACTCTGGTGATTCAGGCACGTGCTGAAGGTCATTGTGTGCGCTTGGGGAAGCACACACATGGGCTGAAACTCCACACGAACCATCCTACGCCCCGCTGAAACCCAGAAATCAAAGCCCAAACCCTCAATCCTGAACCAGAAACCCTCACCCCCAAACCCTCACCCCCAAACCCTAAACCCTAAACCCTGCAGCTCCAACCCCAAGCCCTAAATACTCGAGCCCGTCCTCGCTGAAGTCTCCCTCCTCCGGACTGTCGGGGGAGACCATCGACCTGCAACGCACGTCCTTTTGTGTGTCATTTAGATTCGGCAAAGCCCGAAACCCTAAACCCTTTAACCCTGAAAAGGCAACAGGACAACGGCGTAAGCAATAGGATTGTTCAGAGGTTTAGCGGATCCAGTTTAACAAGACCTAGACCTTTAAATATGGTTCTGGAGCCTTACATGACACCTGAAGGGCTAGCCTAGAAATCCTAAATGCCTGGCAGAACTTGCAACCCAAAAAGTTAGACCCCCAAGTACTTCTACGACCATAGCCACCACCACGATGGCGACGACCACGACGCGCATGCAGATGAAGGCCTGGGCCTAGTCTTTCCTTCATGCAGGACTGTTACTCTTACCCAATCTATTCTTGGAGGTTCATGGGTGGTTATAAGTTCTAAACCCTAAACCCTAAACCGAGCTTCTTGGGTAGTTATAATAAATATATAAAGAAGGGTAACTCTCGTGATAACCCATGTTAGGCACTTAGTAACCCCACATAGAACTACCTCTGAACCTCCAAGTTTCCCAAGTCGCCATTGGTTTGGGGGAGGTGCAGGAGGATGCCGGCTAAACCCCCAAACCCTGAACCCCAAAACCCTGAACCTCAAGACGCTGAATCCTAAATCCTAAACCCTGAACCCAACAAACCTAAACCCTGAACCCTAAATCCTAAACCCTGAACCGTAAATCCTAAACCCTGAACCGTAAATCCTAAACCCTGAACCCTAAATCCTAAACCCTGAATCCTAAAGCCGTAACTTGGATACCGGCACCCTTGCTCAGCCCAAGTGCAGCCCTGGCGACTAAAGTACCCTACACCCTACATTGTCACTCAACCCTAAATGATAAATTACCCTAAACCCTAAACCATAAAACTTAAAAGTGTTAACTCTTGGAATATATGATAATTAAAATTAAATGTCAGTATAATATGACAGTAATTTTAAAGGCAGTTTGACCAATTAGACCCTAAATTACCTGAAGCCCGAGGCTGTAAACGGTTGAAGCATGGGCCTTGTCGGCAGCGCTGCCAACAACTTCTGGAGAAACACAGGGATACCGAGGTCTCCACACCTTGGGGGGGGACGCGGGTTCTGGATGAGTGTTTTCGGTTGCAGGGCATGGGGCCGTTTAGGTTTAAGGTCTGAGGGTGTAAGTTAGGGTTTAGGGTTGAGAGGGTTTGAGATTTAGGGTGTGAGAGTTTACAGTATCTGATGCCCCTATTATTGTCACCTCTCCACTGTGAGGCTTTCAGGTCTTCCTGCCCAGATATGCTCGTGAGGCTTCCATGTAGCATCTCGGGTTCATGAGGCTCCGGTCACGCAAGACCTTGAAAAGGCCATAATTCGGAAAGGCTTACCCCCTAAAAGGACCCAAACCACTCAGTGAGGGCATTTCCCCGAGTTTGGGGGGTTTTGGGGTTTAGTGTCCTAACCTGTCATAAGGCCCCCCTACCTACGGATCCGTTCTTGAGGATTTCTAGAGCCACTTAAACCCCACGCCCTTAGCCCGACTCGCCCTCGACCGGAGGCCTTATCCGCTAACGTTGGATGCTTTGAAGGCTGAGGGCCCCCGACCTAATCCATAACCCCTGAACATCAGGAGCTCCTGAAACTCCCTAAAAAACCCTAAAGCCCTAAACTCTTAAACCCCTTTAAACTCTAAAACCCTAAACCCCACAAGACCCTAAACCCTACAAAACCCTAAACCCTACAAAACCCCGAAGCCCTAAAAGATCCGAAGCCCTAAAACCCCCGAAGCCCTAAAACCCCCGAAGCCCTACAAAACCGCCGAAGCCCTACAAAACCCCGGAAGCCCTCCAAAAACCCCCGAAGCCCTAACACCCCAGAGCCCTGGGTTCCAGGCACAACTTCGGCTGTCAGGTTTTGGGCTTTCAGGTTGCTGCGGAGGGCTTCCAGGGCCTCAAGACAGTTACAATTTGGGAGCTTTTTTGGGGGGTTTAAGGGTTTTAGGGTTTATAGGGGTGCGGGGCTTAGGGCTTTAGGGTTTTTAGGGTTTAGGGTTTTAGGGGTTTAGGGGTTGAGGGGTTTAGGGGTTTAAGGGTATATAGGGACGTAAAAGCTCCCATTGGTCATGATTCCGACTTTTCTATTGGGGCGGTCATGGTGTGGAGGCGGTAATACGGTTTGCGTTAGGGCTTCAGTGTGTCTAGTGCTTTGGGAGTTTGCGGAACTCCTTTCTTTCAGGGTTTCGGCGTTGCAACAGACTTCAGGTTTCAGTTTTGGAGGGGGCGTCGAGCACCTTTGTGTTGTTTAGGGTTTTGCTTTCTAGGCAAGATTTGGAGAGGTTGCAGGGTTGTAACCGTGTCGCGACAGTTGGGGTTCTAGAGTATATTTGGCAAAAAGGGTCCGGAGTGGTATGCTTCCGGGCAAGGGTTAGTGGTCGTAGTTCAGATTTCCTAAGACTCTCGGCTTTGTGGCGATTATGCGATCTGGTGTGCTTGCACGCACCAGCTGTCACCTTGGTGTTTAGATTGTCGCTACTGTCACTACAATCATCATGGCAACACAGGTATGAACGACAGAACAAGTCATCATGAATTTGTCATCATCACATTCATCGTCAGCATATGCAACATCAGAGCAGCAAGCTACACAAATGCCGTTGACAAGTGTTGCGATGATGATGATGATGATGAGGATGATAAGAATGACAAGGATGACGATGGCCTATGATGCCAATGATGATCATCATGTTAACGATGACGACGATGAGGATACAGAAGCAGGTGCCGGCTTCGTTGCTGTGGATGTTGCTGTTGTTGGGTTGGTTGTGCTTGTTCTCGATGTTGTTGATGTTGCTGCTGCTGCTTCTTCTGCTG